CGGCCACCGGAAGAACGAAGGTGCCTTCAGAGAGACGCGCTCTTTGACGCGCTCTCACATTGATAATCTAAGCAATCATTAGCTAACAGGAAGCTAATCAACGATGAAGAAGCATCGAAGCACTGGGAAGCTCGAGACGAAGCTTGAGGAGCCTAGGTCTAAGGTCTAAGGAAGGCCTTCGGAGGCATCAGACACGTCCAACGAATGTTCCTGCAAATCGCCGAGAGAAGTCACCAACTTTTTGTCTCGCATTCTTACATTCTGCCTCAGTCCACAGTCGCGTCTACAATCGGACGAACAATTCCAGTTTTATAGTTTGCATCAAAATTACCATCGCCCGATCGCTCATTGCATATATATATATATATACCGTCGAATATAATCGCGGGACCGTCATCGTGATCAATCACTGCAGTGCCATATTTTTTAATTAGCAATTAAGATTCATTGGAACGCCCACGGACACCAGCAGGATTGGCGGAAAAGACAAGACTAGTTTCGCTGCTAGTCTCGCTGATGGGCGATCGCCAATCTTGGGTCACTAGTCAAGAGCAGTATTAGATATCCATTATTATGGGCGATTAACATCAACATCCATATTGTCATACATCAATTTTCATATAATTTATATTATCGAATGATTTTTGTACATCACAATCACTTGAATAAATGTCAAATATTTATTTAAAATGTCTGTCTGTTTGATCCGACGGCATGTCCTTCACGTACGACGTCTATCCTGATTACAGGCCTGATTCCAGAACATTGCTTACAATTTTTTTTTCGTTTAACAAATAGCGTTCTTATTAGAATGGCTTGCCTTGATAATGTATCGATATCTTGATATGACGGGAAAGAAGTTAAGTTACGATACGCTTTGCGACTAAAGATTATCTCTGCCACAAAATTTAGCTGATGAAATTATAGTTGAAACGTGATCGCGTTTATGTGTATTGAAAATATTCTATACTATATTTTAATATACTATATTTACTATTGCTATTAATTTTTTCGATAAGATATTAAATAATTTTTCGCATTTCCTGCTCCTTTTTCTCTTCTTAGTTTCATTATTCTTATATTATTTATTCGCCGCGTGCACGATTGTCGTTATATATAGCGCAGTTATTGACAGTAAGAATATAGCGCGTTAATGATAAAACAGATCGATTTGCCTTATGTGAATGTGAAATACAAATACGTTTCTTTCTTGTTCGCATCGAGAAGAGAGAAAACGACGTGGTTCCTCGCTTTAGTTTTCAAGTAAACACCGATAGACCAGTATTTTTCCAGCGTAAGCGTAGCGCGTTTCTATGTGCGTCTTATTTTGCAATTTTGAACGTAAATGCTCGTTACAAATCGCACAATTTGTGGTGACAAACTCGGCTTAGTGCTTAATAGTGTGATTTTACGAAGAACATACATTAGTATGTTCCAAGACATTTTACATGTACTTATTATATTGCTCTTAATTCCTATCTTGTCATTCTTTTTCTTTATTTTTTCTTTATGTTTTTTATACCAATATTTCCAGTATTTCCAATTGTTGCTTAATTGTTGTTGAGTTTTTAATCTTGAGTAGCTGCTATATCATCTTGATGAAGTAAATGCTCGTGTTGTGTTTTTTCATTGATTTAAAATATGATGTCTTGTTTGATAAGACGCGTCAAGCATTATTATACACATTGCGATGCTACAGCACACAATGGCCTCTGGACGGCCTTGCTGTGAGAGTTACTGATCAGGAAAGAAACGTCTTAGAGCTCGGTAAAAGGAGGAAGAGAGCGATTGTCCCCCGATTGAAGTTCAACCGGTACCCGGAGGACAGCGGAAGGAAAGAATATAGCCTTACGACATCTCCAGCCTATACGTTTATATTCTAAATATAATTAAATTCTTTAATATATACTCTTAATATTATAATAATTTTACCAATAATATTTTTTATATGCAACGCCGATATATATATATATATATATATATATATATATAATACATAAGCCGACGAAGATATACTCGTCGACGAACAGTTCTTATCTCGAGATAGACGAAGTCACGCAAACACAGTTACCCAATCGAACGTTTCATGAGGTCGCAGTCAATGATGATAACCTCTGTTAACTTTGAAATTTATGTAATGCTTGCATCAATTGATTCAGCATCTCAAAATTCTCTGGAGACGAAACGACGACGCCATGCCGAATTGCGCAGCTTAGCATAATAATAAAACATATTTGACACAGTATAGAAATATTGGAGCGGAATTCATTCCAGAGCTTCGTCCAGTTCTTCAGACTTTCGTACTTTAGACATGATAATACACATAATTTCACGTATTACCCAGCGGCGAATAACGCTCGGAATTTACGTTACAATTGATTTGATAATTTCTATTCATTCAATTCAATCTATCATATCTTAATATTCAATTCTTAATCCATCATATCTTAATATTCAATTAATAATATTAAGCTCACTTTTTGCTCATTATGCGTGCTGTGCTTGAATATCATATAGAACTAGCTAAAATTACATTTTCCGTTGCGACATACAATTAGTTTATTCTAGCACACACACACACACACACACACACACACACACGGATAGACGCGTGTGTCTTAAGTTAAAACAAGACTCATTATGTCTTGGTGCGATCTTATTTTCAACAATTTTATAACTGATATCGCGAGAGATTATCTTTATCGCGCGATCTCTTTATCAAATACCATCGATTGATATTATAACAATCGATGATTTATTTGCGTCAATACAAATGTTTCGGTCAGAAGAATGATTATATATGTAATAATAGCGCTTTAATGATAATGCGTTATTGTCGTAGCCAAAATTATAGATCCTATATGTAGTCAGCTGTGGTTATTTATAGCTGACTTTTTTATTTATACATGAAACGGCCAAAGTTTTCCTGCATAATTATTCCGGAATAATTTTTACGATAACGATCTTAGCACCAGAATTGGAAGTCGTTTAATATTCCCACAGTCGTTTAATATTCCCGACATAATACGTCGTCTTGGCCCGCTTCTTCCATATTGTTTTTCCAAAATCCCAAAGTCCATGCATTCATTATCCACACGGATACTTTCGCTGTCGTCCCAAACTGAGTGATGAATAATTCATTCTAGTCAAGTAATTCTATTTACGATGCTTTACTCTTTGTTTCTCGGAAATAAACGCAGCAGTACACAGCAGTACACACATGACAATGCAGTTTTACAATAGGAAAAATCTGAGTTGTGACATATCGATGAGTTTGCTCGACGAGCAATTTGTTCGCCTCAATATAGTTTTTTAACGTTTGCTGCGCACTCGATTGCACAATATGAGTCAAAAATATTTTTTAGATAATTAGACTACGACAACTAATAGCGTCATTATCTATTATTGCACTTTGATGTAAGCATGACTTTTAATTTTTTTGATAGATCACGAAATTAATGTAATTGCAAATATATAAGTATGTATATATCACTATAAAACAAAGTACAACAATAAACACCAATGTAAAAGCCGATTATCGATTGTATACATTTGCGTATAAAATGATCGATTGAAATGCACAATGGTTAGGTAGATCGATAGATATTTTTGCAGAACGAACATTTTGTCATTATCAGATTAAAATAATGACGACGGATCGAACGAAATTTTATTTCTAAAAACGCTTTGTCTAATGGCGATTCGAGTTCTTTAACCAGACCGCTAATTCGCCACGAGATTTCCTTATTCGAAAATTCCCTCAGATATTAAGGATATTAAGTTTTTCAATTACATTATCTCGAGATGTCGGGAAATCCAGATCTATAACAGTTTGAATCATGACCGATTTCATTGCACGTAACATTCCCGACGCAAGCGGTCGATGACATTAGCAAATGCAGACGAATTTCTCGGGAAGAGGACCGGCTATGCTTCTTCAGTCTACGTCTACGTCTCTGCTACTTCTCGCGAAGATTTCTCTCACTGATCACCGCAGGAGTAATTCTTCCGGACAATCATGAAGATGGGGTCGAGATTGTATCCACTTAGATTAGCGCTTTGGCGCAATTGCGTGTCATGTATGGTGCAACATGCGGCACAAATATTCCCGGGATATATTTTTATACATATCTTGTCTAACGATATCTTTTCGATGAACATGATTTTCGTTATGGAATGCTGAGTGACTGCTGTTATTTCCAAAGTTCGCAAAGTGTCTATCGTTCCAGACGATGCAATTTTTAATTTGCTCGGTCTTTATTTCAAAAGTTTACGTAACGTAATAATGACTTTGTACTTAGTTCACTAGATAATACATCATCTTCTATCCGAAATTATCTATTTCTTTTTTTTTTATTACGAGAATACTTACGAGAAAGTTTGCAAGTAAACGAGAACTTTCGTAAAACTGTAGAAACGAGTTTAAAATACGAAAGTCGGAAGGATTTAAAACCGGGTCACCGTCTTTCTTTCATCTCGTTAACAAAAATTAATCGTCTTGTCGAATAAAATATTGATTTCCTTATTAATAAAGATCGATGATCACAGATGTTAAGAATATCATAAGAAATCACCTTAACATAAAATATTATTTACAATAAATTGACGGTTTTGTTATATAAATTGATATTTAATCGTGCGGTTATTTAAATAGAATTAATTAATGCAAGCTATTTTAAAATTTTGATTTCTAGATATATTAATTTTGTTACTTTTAAAATGATACTTTTTACAGGATGAATGTGAGCAGGAAGATTCAGCGGAGGATTTTGGGGGAACCACTATGCAAATTAAGTATTTCCTAATATAGCATGTTTGAATAATGGAAAATTCTTCGAAATTTCTCACGATTCATCATTAACCGGATATTCATCCAGTGTATATTATGGATTTTAAACTTGTAATTCGTATCAGATATTCTTCAATTGTCCGTAACCAATAAGGCACATTTTTTACGCGCAAGTTTTTAAGTTTTACATAGTAAAGAAAACACGTTGTAGTCACAAATAGATATTGTGTTCTTTTAATTTTGTCAAAAGGCTATTCAAGGATCTTTACTTTAGTGTAGGTATATATTTTATTGGTATTTCTATTAGTCACGGGAATCTCATAGATTTTTTATCGTTCTTGCAATCCTTACGCTATGTAGGTAATATCCCATCCTGTCTGCCAGTCGCTCGGAAAAGCCGCGAATTAACGTTCGTGAAGATGTAAGGAGTGTTCTCTGTAGGACAGAGCACTCTCTGCAGTATTCTCGGCAGACCCACCTCCGTCTTATTTCCGACCGGTTCCAACATATTGTTCCACAAAAGATTGGCGCCTGAAATAAACAAAAAAGAGGAAATCAATACGCTTACGTGTTACAACAATTACCGCTCTACTAGCCTGTCGCTACTTTGTTTTCACAAAATAATGCGCATTTAGCTAACGGTGGATCGTACGTGACGTTCTCTTTCGCCGTGACTCTTGTTGACACCATCCTAAGGAACGTTTAATGATTTGACTTAACCATTTAGCACCGCTAATGAATGTCGGTGTAAGCGCGCGTACATTGACAATGCCAGCTGCTAGAGGGCTGCCGACGATCATTTTATTGCCCGTGAAGGCGTCGCTCGGCCCATACGTTTATTTTTAACCGTGTAAACCGGTGAACAATTGTTAATTGACGCAAACTAGCCGACCTTCGCTCGAATACATATGTCTCTATCGCCAAGGAAGTCTTTTGTTACGTAACGATATCGACTGGTTTCTTAATTTAATACGATATTTATCGAATGCTTCCAATATGTTCCGATATGTTAGTTTTGCATTCATAAATATACATTTCTGTTGTATCTGTGACTTAATTAAAACAGCGTATATTATATTCATTCATTCATACGGAACTAGTTAAGTCTGCTCACAAATTGAACGATTGCCTTTATGCGGAATATTAAAGAAAGTAATTAAAGAAAGTAAGAAAATTTCGATTCTTCGAGAAGTTGACCGAATCGTTCGTGTTGCGAAATGTGGAAAGATTTTTTATCTTCATGATAACCGGCATTTACATTCTCTCTATATAATATGTATAAGATAATAGGAGATTAAACGAGATAATATGGTATATATTGCGGATAACAATGAAATATCGCCCGCGTAAAAATTACGTAAATATAGTTTGCACATTGATAATGTTTCCTACTTTGATAAGAGAATTGATATTTTTGCGCGGAAAGTAATTTTATGAAACTTTTCATCGTGCTTTCAACACATTTATCGGTAATATCGGTTACATGATTTACTTGCCTGGTAGTATGCAACCGTTTCAACAAAGTAACATTCTCTCTGCGGTCAGCAGGCGCCAATCTGGCGATGGTAGTAAATGACAGTTGGTAATGATATATGAACGAGTTAATTAATAAACAAGCTTTTTGCAACATTAATCTGATTGAAAATAAGTAAGAATAAAAATAAATATTATTTTTCAAGTTCGCTATCTAATCTATCTCATAAGCGTATACACACAATGTACGTATATAAAAGGTAATGTTTCTCACCAAGCGCATGTCCTTTCTGACTAAAGTGGAAACAGTCATACGTAACGAGACTAGGATCGATCGGCGGTGCACGAGTAGGATCTGCATTAGGTGCATTGAATAATTTAACAAACGGTTGCAAAACCACCGTGAAGTCTGGAGAATCGTCGTATCTATAAAAGGAAAAAAAAAAAGGACATAATGTCTTATTGATGCTGTATATGTATGTTTAAGCGAGCGAGCGTTGTCAAACGCGCATTGAACGATGAAAAACGATTGAAAATGAATTGTCGCAGTCGCGTATTATAAAAATCAAACGACAAAATGTACCTTCCCGAGTGTATCAGTGCTTCGGCAGCTTGTTGATAGAGCTGCGACATTTTCGACGCGTCGATTTCCGGTCGACTACCCTTGTGCATGCAAGCGCAATAAAGAGGATGCAATATATTGCACATGGCACTTCGCGTCACTCTCACCGAGACTGTGACATCTGCCAATAGATAAATCATATTGTCTGATTATTAATTACGATCTCATTCGGATTAGCCTCGTGTACACCAGTTCGAATTGATCTGTCACCTATAGCTGGAACCAGATTGACCAGGGTACGTGGCAAGGCGATCTTTAAAAAATCGAGCGTCTTCCTCAGATGCAAGGCATAACGCATCGGCGAGAACTGTTGCGGATTATAACATTGCGCTGAACAGATGTCATTAGCTCCGAACAGAATCGTGACGAGCTGGAAGACAAGCCAGAGGATTATTATTGGGTCGAACAAAAGTTTTCCACGTCGATATGTTTTTTTTTCTTCCACGGAGAAATTCATGTTGCCACGAAGGAAATTCAAAGAGTCGAGTTGTCACCTTCCATTGCTTCTTCGTATCTATTTTCGGGTCACTCTTAATCCTCCGGACCAAGATTCTCGCTTGCTGCAACGCGTCCTCGGTAGCAGCGACTGGGAAGGCGACGTTCAATCTCGCTGCGCTCGAGATAAATTCACCTGTCCCCGTGGCGTACCCGGTTAACCTCGGATTAAACACCTGTGTGAGTCGCACCGTGAGTAAAGATGAACAGTGAAGATTATCCGGCAATACGTAAATTATCCTATAGCGTACATACAATACCATATACACACGTATAACTCTTTTCTCGGTAAACGTAACGACAACGTAAGGACCGATGCAACGATCGACAAGAAAGTCGCAAATGCGAAAGACACTCAGTGATGTACGTACCTTCAAAATATTGGGAAGAGTGAAGAACCGTCTCCAGTTAGCCTGACCCCCAACGCACCAGCTGACTCCGCGTGCCTCGATGAAAGTTCCCACAGCGAATTCCTCCAGCGCACCACTCCCAGCAACCAAGGAATCACCGAGACCACCGATTACATCGATGTCGCCTGGTCTCAAACGATGAACACTGTCCGGCACTAATAACGATCTGTAATAAATAAGAAAAGAGCAGAGTGATTTTCCGAAACTCACACTCGGTCTTCGTTCCTTTTCATTCGAAATCTGTTTGAGAAATTCCCTTCGCTTCTCACATTCAAATAAGAAACGGCCATTTAAGAGCAATTCTTTTTGAAGCTAAAAATCAGTCAGCAGAGACTTTCCAAAGATTCATCACGGAGATTATCGATCGATCGAATGAAAAATAGAATTATACCTGCCAGAATGCACGTCGCAAGGAAACGGGACGTTATCGGAAATAATCGGCTGCCTTCGTGCATTGTATATGTGGGGATATGATATTTCAGTTTCATCCACCTTGTCCTGGAAAATACGAGATGTCACAGGTATTTTCACAGTGTGATGGCTCTTCACGCACGGTTTTTCTGCGATGCGACATTGAAGCCAGTGTCGAGCAGCGCGTTTAACAGACAACACACGTCTACACTCTTGCTTTCTTCCATTTGCATTCCATCGCGTCTCACCGCGACTTAAATACCGACGCATATAAATAATTTCTCTGATCATACCGCCGAAAAAGGCGTGGCACTGCTCCTCCTGAGCTGCCTTAAGCATTTGACTAAATGCTTTCTGTTTTGTTCAGCTTTCGAAAGCTAGACTGTTGGACATTTTCTATCGTCTATTTCATTCAAATATTACATTTGCACATTCGATCTAATTTAATTTCAAGAATAATCGATTGATCAAATGTGATGATTTCTCGTTATAAACCTCGGATATCTGTTTTCGAATTTTTATGAAATGAGAGCAGGATGTTGTGTGTGTATGTGTGTGTGTGTGTGTCGAAAAGAAGAAGGTGTTGAAATTGAAAATATCGAAGAGTACATAAAGTAGTATAAAATAAAGAAGTGATAGTATTATTAGCCCATAAGAGCATTTTAAAACTGTTTCGAACACATCTGACGTGACGCAAGATTTTACCGCAGGCCAATGAGGCCGACGAAAAGAAACGTTCCCGCCTTTCTCCGATTGCTCAGAATGTAAAGTACTCTTCTTTTAGAGTCGCGCATCGCCGGCACCTTCCGGTTTCACATGATGTGGTAATCTCACTCTTAATGTCATTATTCCACTTTTTTACAGATCCGTCCAAAATTTCGCTCTATTCGTCGCTTAGGCAATTAAATTCGCGAATGATAATTAATTGATATTTATACAAATGATAATTAATAATTAACGTGAAGAAAATGGTAAATTGACGCCGATAATTGGCAGAAATTTATTGACTCCTTGGCATTTCAATGCCGATACTCACCCTCCCCGTTTGAATTATGCTACGCATAAAATCCACAAGAAAGACACATTCGGCCAAATGGAGAGCAACGATGACTAAAAACGAACGAATTACTGCTACTCTCATGATTCTTGCGGCTTAGCAGCAGGCGTTGAATGAAAATTGCTGGTCACTTCTTTGGAGAAAAATTTTCCTTTTCCAATTTTCTTCGTAAAACTGACTAAACGTAATATGCTTCAATCGCTGATTATTCCATGTTGAAAGATTACGTTCGACCTGGTCGAACGAGACTTCCGGTCGCCATTGACGCACTTCCTCTTTCCTCGACTTCTTCAACGCGGATGTTCTAGGCAGGTCTTTCGAGTCTTCGGCCAGAGAGAACTGTAAACTTTAACGAACACTAGTCGTTACTTAAGTACACATGCGGCGAGAGGATCGTCTCGATGAAACCGCGAGCAGACTCTTATTTATTTAACGGCGTTGCATAGAGGATCGCTCGGTTAATCTTGTTAATCCTGATGGTTTGGTAATTTGAGCAATAATGTATACAGTTACTGATTTATATTTCTCAATTTTTTAACTTGAAAATACAATATTTCTTTAATATCTTTAGTAAAGCTATGGAAGCTATAACATACTAAAATCAAAGATGATGGATGAGTTATGCTTCTGTATGTTCTCACTTGCATCGACTTGCAGCGACGAATAATGTTTTCACATAATTTTGCAAGTCTCATGAAGAAAACGAAAAGCGAAAGAGACAACAAAGACTTTGAAAGTGTCACCTTAGGAAATCCCCCTTAAGATACGAAAGACGGATTTTCGCTAGCGTCTAAGTTCACGCTCCATCCTCACTACGCATTTTCAGAAATCATTCGTAATTCATATCTTTTAGAAAATGCGATTTTTTTCTAGATGTTATGTGAAAGAACAACGACGTCGTCGAAACACCTAAGTACACATGCGCGCGCAATAATACAGTTACATACGTATGAACATTAGTGGGATATGAAGAAATATATATAAGTAAATCTATAAAAATTGTTATTTACAAGTATTAAACTAATTTTCCAATTATATAATTATACTGCATTTATTCACAGTATATACACGGTGTGTACATAATACATATATAAGTATGTACCTTGCTGGCCAATGATTTGTATGTTCATATATTGTTACAATCGGGCAGTCAATTTGACGCTTCGTCATAATTCCTTATTAAAAACATCGAGAAACTTTCCACCATAACTAAACTTTTCACGCTATAATGTCTCACTATAATATTGATAAGAATGTAATGGTTGCATCCGAAACCGATGAGTCCACTTGAGTTACTGTCACTGTTTAAATGTCATTGTTGCACATGGATACAATTGGCAAGTCATTAAACGTTCATCCAAACACCAAATTATCGCTTGATTGTTTCTAATAGATGGGCCGTTCCCAAAATATTAGAAACTAGATTTTCACATAAATCGTATTACAGAGACCGACCCGTTTCACCGGTACTACCAGACGACAACACTAAACATGAATGAAACGGGTCGAAGAGAGGTGCCTTCGAGCTCATCGATGATCCCCACTTTTACTACATATTCAAGATATCTCCGTATTCTTTCCTTCGTATTTCTATGCGGTAGTTGAGGGAGTAAATACGTGAGTAAGAGTGACGGAGTCACAAAGCGGTGTTACGACAAATCGCATCGCTACTAACATTTGCACTATTTTATACTTATGCATACTTTCCCTGATATTTTATTAAAAATCGCTGCTTTGTACAATTATTTCTTGAAAATTACATGAGATGTACTTACTACTCGCGTATCTGACGCGATTCACAAATTAACTATCTTCACAAGCTGGTGAGATTATTTCCTATTCATACATTACGACTTTGAATTCTATAACAAATTAAAAAATATATACGAGAGAGAAAGAGAGAGAGAGAGCGTTTCGAGATTGTTCTTAAGTAATTATGGCATTCTGAAGAATATACGTATTATCGCATTGCAGTCGACTGATTGACGATAATATAATATAATAACGTATCGATATTCTTCGTCCTTTGTCAAACATAAATATTTATCATGTGAATAACAATTAATTTTGCTAAATTATTTTTGCTCTGTTGAATTTCGCATTGTAGCCAAATAAGGCCTTTCCGGAGCCGGGCAAAGAAATTTGTCAAACAGTTTCTGCGAATATTTCGCTTTAGCTCCAACAGGTTCCAACAGATTATTCCATACAGCATTCGAAACTGCAAAAACAAAAGAAACGTCAGTAATGCATGCGTTTGAGATGAATTAAACATTTTCTCATAGTAAAATATAGTTTGACTAGTTCTTTTTTTATATTTCCTGGATGAAGAACCGAGCTTACTCAGAGCGTTAACTTTTTGGGTGACGTGGAAACAATCACTACTGAAATACGTCATATCGGGACTACCATCAGCAGTAGGTGGTATGAATAAATTTAACGTAATAGGCTGAGCTACGACTGTAAAGTCGTCTGTATGGAATTGCGGATAAGTAGAGATTTCTATGTCTAACTCCTGCCATCTGAAATATAATAATAATATATATAATGATAATATAATAATAATCTGAAATACTATAATACTTATAACTTTTTAATTGATGTATATATACATACATCTTTCGCTATTGATAATATTTTTACATTTCCAAAAACGAATAAAAACGTATAAATGATAAAATTTAGAATTTTTTCTGATAGAATTGATTTATAACAGAAGTTTGTGTGGCACATACTAACATACCGTTCAATGATATTATAATATTCTTGTATAAGACTCTGATACTTCTGGCTGAAAAAGCAAGAACATTCGAAAATTGTGGTGAGGTAACATTGAAAAGATTGTTTCTTGCGACTGTCAACTAAAGTTTTTATATGTGCCGGCGGAACTAACGATACGAAAGTCCGCGGCAGATTATCTCTCAATATCGTCAAAACCTCAATCATATCGGCTTTGTGTTTTTCGAGAATTGACCAAGGCGAAGAAGTCCAACATATATTGGTGCAAAAATCGTTATCTCCGATCATCAACGAGATTAACTGCAAACCAGATTATTATTATTATTATTAACATTAAGTTGTCAAGGATACTTTATCAATCGATAGCGTGATATCATCAAGCAAGCAAGAGAATTATAAGAATTAGTATAATAATATTTAATTGTATTGTCGTACAAAGAAGAAGGCAGAATGCAGAATACTGCGAAAAAAAGTAGTCCGCGCAATAGATTACAAAGGAATAAATGTTTTGTAAATATAATTGGATCCATCGAATGTAACGAACCTTCCAATCCTTTTCCACATTTATTCTCGGATCGCTTTTAATTCTTTTAACCAGCACTTCCGCCATATAAGGCATATCCTCAGACATAGCACCGCTCTCAGCGACATTTAGCTGCGATGCTTCGTGAATTGTCAGCGAGTCTTCTTTTGCGTAGCCTATCAAATTGTGGTTGAATTCCTGTACGTTGAAAATTTTTGAGTGACTAATTAGCATATACGCACGTACATTATCGTTCAATATTTCACAACCATTGCTATATACCATACCGCGAATACCGGCTCATTATACCACCCGACTACGAAATATTTATATACCTTTTCCTTTACTTTCTATCATTGTGTGTGTCGTTTTAACGAGTTAGGAAAGGACATGTTCGAATAATATAACGAAAGTATATAAAAACACTGTTCTCTAAATAAAAATCGTTTCGTATTAAATATATATATATAATAAATAAACGTTGCGGCAGGTTATGTAGCTGAAAAAATTCCAATTCGGTAGCACGATTCGATAGCTAGCTGAGCAATGTGTGCATGATACAAGGAAAGAGATATATTAAATTAATGCATCAAGTGAACTAGATTGTCACTCGTCTACATTTATATTACTTTCGACAAGCCCGGAGTAATGGAGGAACGACGACGATTACAATATTGTAAAGTTATTTTTATATATGACGTGAATGAATATGACATTAGTAGCGTGGAATGCGAAATGAGCAGATAAGTACGCAAGGAAAACATATTTCTAAGGATAAAACGTTGACTGATTTGAATTTAACCTTGATGATATTCGGAAGAGTCAGATACTGCCTCCATGTACCTTGACCTCCGCCGAATGCAGCCACTCCTCTATTTTCTATGATAACCTGAAACAGGTTGTGCGCAAAAATTCCAGTTCCAGCTGTTAACGAGTCACCCATCGCAGCAATGACATCGATATCGCCCGGCCTTAATTCATGTATCGAATCCGGCACCTCTTGCGATCTGCCACCTGAAATGAATTTCAAAAAAATCACTCTAAAGTATTCGTACACACCATGTCTCTGCAAATGTCAAAGATCAAATGTTATACCTGTTACGTTACAAGGAAACGGAATATAGTCAGGGACGATTTGCTGCGTACTCTGTGAATCTCTCGCTAATTTGATGTCTTTCCCGCCTTCCGTTCCTGTTCTACCTGCAAAACAAATAACGCGCGTTGAAAGAAGAATACAGTGAATGACTTGAACGATTCAAATCAAGTCTCGTTATTGCTTATAGGATTCACTTTTCTTTTTATTCGCGAAGTTGCGAATGAAAAAGTAACGAGTATTGTTACATTGAATAGAGAGGAAAACAGGAAAAAATGAGAGTGTAAAGAAAGAAAATACTAATTTACGAAATAAATGAAAAATTCGGAATAATATAAACCGGAGTGTAATTTGATACGTTCGTCAAATTACACTCCGCTAAGACGATGAATTATGCGGAACGGAGGTAGCAAGAAACTTTGCAAAGACGCGAGTTACATTCGTTCGTGGCGCGGAGCAGAAAATCTGTTTTCTTCCGAAGCACCATTTAGTAGCAGAGATATATGATCGTTTTTATATGCCTGATAAAAAAGTGATAAAAGATGATTGACGTCAACAACGAAATAAGCACTCGCAAGGAGAACTGTATCGCACTAACATTGCACATTGCGTGCACGTGTACAACTGCATCACTAATTTGTTCCTTAAGACTGCACACAACTTTTCTATCGAAATGCAAATATAAGCAAGTGAACGGAACCAGTGACATATGTGATCGGTGAAAAACCGATGCTTGATAGAAAATTTGACAATTTTCTCAGAATCTTTATTTTTACATACCGAAAGCGTCGAAAGTCCAATTTCGAAAGGTACGTAATAACATTAGATTAAAGGGAGAGTCGAGGTCGGTCTTCTCGGTCGACACATCCGCGCACAGGTGCAACAGGACGTAAAAGAGCTGCCAACGTTTCCACATCGTTCCCTTGGATAAACCCTTGGACGGAATGGGAATAATCACTTTGACGAAACCCACAATGTTAAAACGTTGTAGCTCGTTGTTTCGCGACAGGGAGAAAAGCACCTTGCTGCTCAAGTTCGAGATAAACAATGAATCTTTGCGGAACTCAACTTACAAGGAAGACTCGGTTATATATCGAACGACCTTGATTGACCTGTCCGACGGCTCCAGCGAACAGCCAAGGTAACTACAACGCTGGCCGCAGTGGCCATGTAAGAATAATGAACCGTGATCCTCGTTGCAGGATAAAAGTCGTAGCGAAAATGTTGTGACGAGCGAACTTGTCATTCATATTTCTCGATCTCAATGAAAACATTTTTGGCTTATCAACACCATCGTGTTTTATTATTCGTCAAATCGCACAGTACTACTGTGATAAAAAAATAAGGTGAATTTGTTTATAAAATGAAAAATCTTTATTTATTCTTCCAAATCAATTCCATCGCCTTCAAAGTACTGCCCGTCCGACACAATGCACTTATGCCAAGCTTTTTCCAATCCTCGAAACAACCAGAGAAGTCTTTTTCCGGGATGACCTTCAATACTTTCTTCGATTCGGCTTTTATCTCCTCAATCGAGTCGAAACGGTGTCCCCGGAGCGATCTTTTGAGTTTGTAAGTTAAAAAAGTTATAAACCATAATTTCTTTAATGTTAATAAATTTGTCATCGACGTTGAACGAATATATATATATATATATATATATATATATATATAATGCTATTATTTCTATAGGCGAGGAATTATATTATTGTGTTCAGCAGAAGTAAGCAGCAGACCAAGTTGAGTGATATGAGTATCTTGTTAAAAAAATATCACTCGACTTGGTCTGCTGTTTATTTTTTATGAGCGCAATAACATAATTTTCCACCTATGTAAATGATAGCATTACATACATATTCATTTAACGTCGATGGCAAATTTATAGCTATAAAATTATTAACATTAAAGAAATTATGGTTTATAACTTTTTTAACTTACACTCAAATTTAAAAATATTTTTCACTTAAAATATTATTAGACAATTAATACTCTCCTTTAACATGCTGTTTTACAAATTTTATGAAGCCTTTTGCCACTTTTCTTCACAATCACTATTCGTTTTCTTCATTTCTTCAATTATAACTCAAAGTCTCCAAGACATTTGTGTCTACGCCACAATCACTACTTATTTGATACTCGTATATGCCATCCTTCTGCTCTCGTAATAAGTGACAGCGTTGACGTATGAAGCAGTTGTTGTCTTTTTCTTCAAGTTGGAGCGCGTCCCGAAGTCTACAAAAAATCGGTCGGCACATACCTTTTAGTTCACGAGTGTAGTACACGTATGCGTTGTATCGAAGAAGTGCATCGAGCGTGCCGCGAGGTTCTCTCTTAACTTTTTCAACTTTATGAAATAACTTCCTGAGAATAAAATCGATTCCGAATGTAATACTAAGGATTAATTAAAAATCGATTAATTAATAATTAAAAATCCTCGCATTTCCTCGGTTACAAATACATCAAAATAAGTCCTCATTTAGCGATGATTTATGATTATTCACTGAATAACCCACTGATAATCAAAAGTCTATTCATCTTATTCACTTCGATGTTATAATCAATCATATAATCTTCAACAATTGTAAGTACTATCGAACTCGAATAGATCAAGTTCCATGTCGTTAATCATGGGAAAGAATATCGTTCAAAGAGCATTCATGATGACATCATCAGCCAAGATATTTAGTTTCTTTGAATATGTATAAAATGCAATCAACTGCAAGCAACTGCATAGCTTTAATTAACAGCGAGTAAAACGTTTGAAAAATAATGCGTTACATATTATGTTAATAGCCGTTACTCTTCCATAGATATTACTTATAATTATGTCCTTCTACAATATATACACACACATATATATATATATATATTACTATCTACAAGTAGTTCATTTATTGGTGCATAACATTAATGTGATATCTAAAAATGCGATAAATTAATTTTAGTTTCATTTGATTGACTTCTTTCTTCTAGATGTACTCTCTCAGCTATTCGTAAATCATTCCGTTGTAAACCATACCGTTTGTAAATTATTCATCAGAGATGTGCGTACCGGAGAATATTTTAGCCAAGGTTGAATAAAATTATTCGGCCGGTTTGATCGCGAGAGAGGTGACACAGAGCGAAAGTTGTTTACCTTCTGTTGCATTTCCATTGAAACAAAATGGTAAATGACTTGCATGATTTGCCGCGAGAATGCGACAGCCACAAAACTGTGAGTCGCAGTCGAAACCTTTGTTATCGACATTACAATAATTATTATTGTCGGTTCACAACGAACGATACTATTGTGCCCGATCGTGGCGACTGTTTGACTATTTCCGTCACTATTAGCAGCGTCGACCATCAGTTTACCATCAGATGCATCAGATCGATCAGATGCAGTATCGTAATATTTTGAACCACTTTGAAATTGTTTATCGTCCAGAGTCTCTACGCAAAATGATCCATATTTACCAGAGAATATTTACCAGAGTGCAAGTTAAATCACGTAATATCTAAGAGAATCAACGATAACAACAATTAAGATCTGATTGTTTTTGATTACCAATCAAACCTAAGCGTATATGAATATTTGTTCACGATAATTTCCATTTAATTTATATTTTTCTCCTAACGATTATTGCGTGATTGGATCATTCAAAAAAAAAAAAAAAGAAAATTTCATTGGCCAATCTGTCGCGAGCTTTGCGAATACTTTGAAGTTACTTTGATTATTCCTCCTCTAAATCTGTACTCGCGAGGGGGATTTACAATGTATCTCTGTTTGCTTAGAATATTGCAAGATTATTTTTGAATTATATATCATGTGTGCATTATCAGTGAAGCGTTGCGCATGAAAGACAAACAGCTCCCCACATGTGTCCGCGTGGCAATATATTATTATGAAGTCTCGCTTGCAAATAACACGCGCTCAATAGTGTAAGCGATAACTTTCGATTGGTCAGTCTTTCCTCTCGATACTTGGCGATAACATTACCGCCATTCTGAAATCGATTTACTTTTGTAGAGAAGATTGTTAGGTCGTTCGTTCAAAGCTCCTCCGACAATAAGTATCGCAAGAAAGGAGATATTGGGAAAACATGCGGACGCGGAAATTCTCCCCCGAGTTCTGCGAATGGGAGAGATATTTACGATTTGTGTGTAACGCGTACGAGGACGCGTACGAATATGCGAAAGTTCTCAGCGGGGGATAATTTAAAAGCGGGCACGAACCAAGAGGATCCGTCTCAACATTTAAGAGAATTCGCTCATCTATTTTCAGCGGCGGCACCTCTCGTTGGGCATCGATCGTCGGCTTTTTCCGCAGTTAAGACGTATATAAGGAGTTGAAACCGGAGGATGCGAGTTAGGTGAAAGAAAGGGCAGAGGGGGAGAGAGAGAGAGAGAGAGAGAGAGAGAGAGAGAAAGAGGCGAAGGGAGGAAGAGAGGCAGGGAAAACAGCGAGTAGGTGAGAGGAGAATGTAGGAGGGATCAGCACGTCTCTTAGACATCCCGGTAAACGAGGAGGGTTGTCAGAGGTCAAGGTTAAGGCGAGTGACTCCTGCCTCTCTTTGGCCTTCCTCCCCGGCGCTTTTTCCAGGCCGAAAGTGCAGATTACTCAATATTGCCTTCTAAGCAGACCGGTGTCAAGGGTCACCCAACTTTTCATCGGATCGAAATGACACGATTTCACGATGTCGAAATGCGCGTAAAATTAGTCTTGACTCTCTCTCTCTCTCTCTTTGCCCCCTCTTTGCTTGAAACTGAAACTGAAAATTTAAGAAAAACTGAAAGAACGTAACTGAAACAGCTCGATTTGCCGCACTTTTAAACAGCATTCAACTATGATTACGTAGCGGAGCGCTAACTCATCGCTAACTCAGAGATATTGTAATTATAATTTGGTTATAGTGCATAAATCGAGAGATAAGAGAAAACTGTCGAAGGACAACTGCAATTGCATATGAATTTTTCGTATAGCATTACGATGAGTGATCGTGATAAATGACCAGTCGAGATTCCCCGCGTTATCTCCTGGAAATTCTATTCCCAAGTTAGATAACGCAACTCGCGATATCAGCACTCAATATTATACAATGACAGGCATGTGCGCGATTAAGATTATCTTTTAAACCTTAAAACATTTATTCTCTCTCTCTCTCTCTCTCTCTCTCTCATCATACATAAAACTCTCTTTATACCGTTTACTTTACACTTTATTACTTTAGGCCGAAACTCGAATTACTTTTGATACAAATTTTACTATCATGTTCAAGCTTCAATCGACTGTAGACCAGCGATTTCAACAGCTTTTGTTACGTCGACGTTAGGTATGATTATTCTATTCTGACCTAAAAACAGCAATTTATGTTTAAATGACAATAGCGCATATACGTCACCGTATACTCGCTCGGTGATATTATCGCAGTGAGCACATAGGCACACTAATTTTACTTTAAAATTTTCTTATTGTTAAAGAAGCTAATTGCATAAACCAGTATGTATCGATACAATTTCTAACTACGCTTCTTTGCATTACCCTCTCTATTCAGATGCAAAGAGAACAATCTTGACAATGTGAAATTTATAAAAGGATTACTACGGAAGCTACGTGTGTCGACTGTGAGTTGTTATATAACGTTATTCAGGCCAGTAAAATTATGTAGCTAAACGAAATTTGACACGTCGAGCGCACGTCGAGTAACACACGGTCGCACGGTCGCACGTGCACGTATCGTTGACACGTAAGCGTGACTCGTCCGGTGTGTAGACTATGATAATATAATTTATCTTGATATAACACGACGCACAGAGAACGCCATTGGTGTCGATCTAATACGATCTAATAATCGTGTAATCGATCGTCGTTACTGCGTCCTGTCGGATCTACAGTGCACGAAAGCAACGTTCAAAAATCATGGATGAAAATATATGTCGTAAAAATCGCATCGTAAAACCAATTGTTTATTATTGACAGTTAAAATCTTCGATGCGAACGTCAATTATGCGGTGTCGCAATATCGCGATAGGTCACCAATTTCATTGCGTTGACAGATCAGGGCCGAGTTCATTTCGGATCAAAGAATTTTCCATAAACAGCTCATCGCAATTCACGCAATTCACGCGCGTTATTTCGATCGTAGGAATCGCGCGATTACTAAATCCACTACTGCTTCTTGTAAGCAGGTCAGCTGATAATACTAAAGTGCCTTCCTCGAATCTTCCAACGCCAGTCCCCTTGACTCGTCCAATAAATACGAGGAGAGCCGAAAGCAGTATCCTTTTAGCAATGTGCTCGACTTATCACGCGTATTCTCTTCAACTTTCCTTATGGCGGCCAAGCCATCGCGTACCGTTCGATGTCGAGGTATAAATGTCGCTAGAAGCGATAAATTCGCACAAATAGCGCGAAGCTCTATCAGAGAAAAGTCTCTCAGTGTAGATATTGTGTTGACATAACAAGACAAAAGTTGAAAAGATTCGTACACATGCGCACACATGGTGGGGTAACTTTGGAATTTACGAATTTACGGGACAATTTCCTCTTCTGTATTGCTCGCGTAGCATGACATACACCACACACTTACGTCCGCGGCAACTGTGAACTTTGACTATCTGTCATTTGTCTGTCAAGAGAGAAGGTGCTCGATCGACAACAACGAAAAGCGAATGCGATGAAAGTTATATTCATCCCGGAGACGGAATGTCGGACACGTAACAGTTCAATGAGCCCGCGAACAATCGATTGATCTAATCGTTGAGCTCAAAGGGCGCGCACATGGACGCGGCGTTGCGGGACAAGTGTGATTCGATGTATCGATTGCGAGTATCGAGATAAGAGCCATTGAAAAATTCGAAACTACGTGACACGCCAAAGTGACCGTTTGAGCAAGCTTGTCAGTATTTTCACGCATTATCAATAGGAGGAGAACACATATAGATGCAGATGATACAGAAGAAGTAGGAAGTACTTTCCACACGTTTACGGACCAAGACACAGCAATTGTTATATTGTTATTGCTCGATGTATCGACCGTTCGAAGAATTTTATTTGGAAATGTTTTCTCTTGCGTTATATCCAAATATTCTTATCCCAAAAAGATTGGACAGAAATAACACTCGATAAAAGATACGGACATATCGCCCGTTAAAGTATCGTCCTCTCTCAACGGTAATTTAATTTACAGGCAAAGTCTGAAATCGAGAAGAAAAACTTGGTGCCTCCCGTGCCTCCTCGTTTGCGACGGTATCATTGATGTATTGTCCGCATATATATATATATATATATATCGACGTATACTCCTTTGCTCGCGACAACGAAATGGAATTTTACGTTTTTGCTGGTTGTGCAATTATTCATTCCCCGCGAATAATTCGAAATATCTTTGATGGTGAATGCCAGCAAAGACGCATACCGGCATACAACGATATTACAACATCGAGGCTTATTATAGACCTCGCCGTCGCGTCATCGCGACGGTTAACGATACGGCATATTTATATGTAAAGAAGGTAAAAAGGAGAGTGAGCGCGATTCAATATTTCTCCGTCATACTTGACGCCGTCGGCGAATGATAGCATAGCTTCTTCATGCGACCCGCTTAATTCCGCTGTTGTACTTACTAAAAAGAAGCGATTTCACGAATTTATCGACCTGCCTGAGTGGCCTGATGTCACTCTCGTGTGATGCAAACGAGATAAAAATTGCCTCCCTTACCGCTCGCGTCTACGCCGGCGAAAAACAACGTGTGTTCCCCCGTGCTGCACGCAGTGCAAAAACCCGCTCTCGAGCAATGACGCGAGCTGTATATAGTCAGTGGATTACAAAACTCTTCAAGTTCATAGCAGCTCCTAATCGCCTCGCAGGTTATCGTACGGGTGCAAGTAAGGCTAGCAGTTTTGCGTAGTCCGCACGTTAGAGGAAAAGTATCATCTACGTGAGAGAAAAGAACGCGCAGCGGCAATTTACGTCATAATTCGCAACATGCAACTATTCATCAATGATGCACATCGCGCACATAGTTGGCTATAAATTAGCTGCTGGAAAACTGAATTTAAGTTCGCGATACGATTAAGTGAGATAAAATCATGATTACTAATTATATTCGGATTCCGATAATATCTGGATTATCTCCCCCCTTCCCGCGCGGACCGGACCGCTCGCAGACTATGATGATCATTGCCGTCAACTTGAGCGCGAATGAATCAATTGCGGGCTTTACTTTCACGAAGCGTGACTTGTGACGTCACTTGTAAAACGAAATGATCAACAATATTGGGCATGAGTTGCAACATGTTACGGACGTGCTACGTCATGTTTCTCTATGAGAAATATTACGCAGATACGCAATTAACGTCTTTTATTGTGCGAAAAGAATTGGTAATTTGTCAGATTGTTAGAAATTTGTAAAATATTTTTATTTGCTCTTTGCTTTCACTTTACACTCACACTTTACATTCACACAGCCATTTTCTTCAGCAAATTTGTATCTTTACCTTTATCGTTCAAGATCTCTAATCCTGCTGCCACATTTTTTAAATAAAGAGTTTCTGCATTCTTTACGAGTCTCATTGTGCATTTCCATTCGTTTTGAAGGAACACACGAAACTATATAAATTTATGCACTGGCAAAAATAGTGATTCATCATGTCATCTTGACATCATTCAATCGCATCTGTCAAATCCCCTCTTTCGTGACTGTATCGTCAACGCTGAACGATATATAACAGTGTGGCTGCGACTTACGTACGCTCACAGTAGATTTTCAACGTCTTTGAACGGGCGTATTGGGTGACGACGTCGACGCTGACGTCGTGATTAAGTTCAGAGCTGGAGTTGCGGTTTCACAATCCAGAATTTTGCAAATACGCGAATCAGTTTGTCGGAGAAACAGGGTAAACGAACGCGAATATGCGAAGGTATCGTTGATTCGAAAACAAAAATAACGACACGTGCGAATATCAATAAACGCGCTGATAAAGTGTCATCGGTAAGAACCTCATAACTGATGGCCTCATATCAATTTGTATTATTCGTATCCTCATTCTCTCAACGATCGAATGCCGATCGTCTTATCGTCGCGTCGGTTCCTGATTGAACATTGCGCGCGTGTAAAATATATTAATTCGGATAATTTAATTCGGATGATTATATTAAACATTAAATGCGAGAGCCGATTGCACAAGTCACTCCGAGCATGATGAAATATTGAAAGTATCGAATATAAATAATCGGCGTACGAAATAAAGTGACGAGTGACGCGCATCCCGCGTAATAGGGATCACAGTATCGTGTCGATAAATATCGTGTCGGTAAGGCAAAAATATCAGCGTATTACGCGATAAATTACAACACATCCACAAAAATCGTGGCGTTACAATCGATTCGGTTCTGTTCGATTTTGAGAGAGACGCTCTATCTTATTATAATTTAAGGTATCAATTTCTAAGGCGATCGTCTCGCCAGTTACATACGCAGTTATCGGTGTGTGCCTATCACACCTAGCAGGCGTCGAGCACGTGGATGACGGAGGCCGGCGGCGCGGCGGTTCTTCGAATTTCGCGGTGGTCACGAAGGGGTGGGTCACGTGAGCGACGAAGCCGGCCGAAGGCGCGAGCGACCGAACCGAGGTTATAAATACCGGGTAGCAGCGCGCGGGGAACCTCTTTTACTCGCCACAACGCGTCGCGTCGCGTCGTGTCCGTTCGTTCGTTTCGTCTCGATCATTACGCGGTGTGTGCCGTGTGAGAGGAGTGTGGAAAAACTCTGCTCGCTTGTGCCTTCGTCTTTTCGTTCCTCTCTCGCTCCGTCGTTGTCTCCTCTCGTTTCGTCCCGTTCCTCGTTCTGCCTGCTGTCTCTCTTTCTGCTTTCATTTCGTCGTTTTGTTTCATCTCGTCCCGTCGGCGTTTTCTGCTATCTCTCTCTCTCTCTCTTTCTCTTTCTCTCTTTCTTTCTTTCTCTCTCTCTCTCTCGTAGAACAACACGCGTCAACGAGGATACTGTTCGTTCGCGCGCACAGTATTATAATATACACGGGGAGGAACGTGCGTAACGCGACGGCGAGACATCCCTCTCTTTCGGAGGAGGCACATATAAGGGCTCGAACGCGAGCAGTAGTCAGCTAGCCAGCCAGTCATCTAGCGAGCAAACGGCAGGCAGGTGGAAGTTGTCGCGAACACAAGCTTCGAGCAGCGAGAAGTACTACGGCAACCACGACAACGGCGGCGACGAGCCCGAAACGTAGGAAAATGCCGGAGACTGCACACCACATGAACGGCTACGCGAATGGTCACACGCCGCCCGAGCTGCAACAGGGCACCACTTTCCTGTTCACCTCGGAATCGGTCGGCGAGGGACATCCAGGTGAGTTTTGCGGGGTTTATTCTTTTCAGATTTAGTGGCGTAATCCTGCATCATGGTTTGGGGATAGCTCCCTCTCTCTCCCTCTCTCTCTCTCTCTGTCCTTCTCTTTCTCTCTTTGTACCGAAGTTAGCGCTGTACGTCGCGCGCGCCGCCATGGCTGGGACGAACATCATCTTCGTAATCCGGCTCGCATCACTGCTAGCGTTACCAATTTACTTCTCGTTTCTTGTTTCTCTATTTTTCCCTTCAACCTGCTAAGTGACAATCATGCTCTCGATCACCACCGATACTATCGGGGTTATGTTCCAAAGAACGGGAGGAACATATCGTGCGCGCGCGCACAAGCTAACCGATTCTTCTTTCCTGTCTCTCTCTCTCTTTCTCTCTCTCCCTCTCCCGTATCTCGTATTTCTTCTGTTCTCGATTCTCTTCGCCAAAATTCAGCCGCCTCGTGCGCGCCTTGCACGCTTCGTTCCCGGTGCATTGCCCGGGGTACTGTCGTGCACGAAGATGAGCGAATATACCAAGAACACGTCGCTGACTGTGAGACCGCGCCATGTGCTCGCAGCGCGATCGCTGCGACTCATTTGATAACACGCTCTGAGAACCGTGCCGGTTAAAAAATTCACATTGTAATAAAGCCTTGAAGCTTTAAAGTTCTAAACCTGTAGAAGCAAAGAGTAGATCGAGAGACATCGATAATAATACCATGCAGTTTCGTTTGATACACTTTTAGCATGGACTTTTAGTATCGTGTCTAAGTTTGGTATTCGTGGATTTGTGTCATAATATTCGTACGTTCTGAGGCCATTCTTTTGTGTTCGTTTACTGCTTCGTTACTGATAACGCGCATAATTTATCTCTTTTTAGATTTTGTCCTTTGTCCTCTACTTTTAGATACAGTACTATGAATGCTAGATATGAATGCATAAGTATCCAATCACCATATATAAAACCTGAAAGAATCTTGAAGAAACAGATAAAATTGACAATATGAAATTTGCACAATCACAAATTACGTTTATGTGGCAATCAAAAGTTTAATCAAAGATTCATCGATTTAGTAACAGCCAATATGTTTATGTCATCGGTATAAAATATTACTGATGTTACAAAAGTAATTATAATGTCAAAAATTGTTTAATTTGTTATATGCCAATCATATAAACATAAATTATGGATATTACTAGATCTTGTAGGAATATAAATGTAATCAATCTCTTTCTAAACTACGAAATAAGATCTTTAGATTTGTGATTCTACATTCAGACAATGTACGAATTGTTTTAAATTAAAGTAAAATTATGACTATGCATCTTTTATAATAATCGATGCAAAAAAAATGGTAACACCTCTCTCTCTCTCTCTCTCTCTCTCTTTTTCAATGTAGACGTTTTACATACATATCTATGTCAGCCATTTTGGAACACTATATTGAAAACGGAAAATATTTAAGAGCTATTCATATTATTAATGAAATCACTTAAGTTTAAGAAACTGTATGATGCAGTAAAATAATAATGTAAAATAAAGTATAAAAGCAACAAATGTTCCATACTAGAAACAATATTTTCCTCGTTTCTGATGTCATCATTCAAAATGGCTGCTTTCTGTATTCTATTGATATTCTAGAAAGATCTTGTAAGCTAGAATCGTGTAAGAAGTTAATTCGATTGCGTTTAATTTGAATCTGTATACCTCAAATACTTTCAGCATTACCAATTCATTTACGCGTCATACATGCCAGTGCTAATTCTACAACTTAACGGTCTCTTCCCTGCTAGATCACGGCTCTAATTATATCAAAGATAAAGAAAGAAGCTTTAATATGAGTCGCCAGTAATTCAGGTTGACTACATTTTGATTTAGTGATTTGTTTTCTTCCTCCTAGATTTATACATGTTCCTTTTTTTTTTTATTTGTGATGCAAAATGAAAAAGATTGAATTAACAAGTATTTGTGTTTCTTTAGAACCAGTAACATTTTTAAAAGTTTTAAAAGTAAAGTATAATTTCTGAACCATATAGCCGGTTATGTCAATATTATTACATACATAATTTATATTTACGTATGATAATTAGAAAATATTAGGTTTTAAAAATGTATATGTTTTTATAGATAAAAGAGCAATTATGTTACATCCCATGTGCAAGTTTTATACAAGATAACTAGAATACTAAAATATTAAAGATAATGTTTCAAAAATTTATATTTTAAGGATGACTTTTATATTATTTGCATAACTAAATTTTCTATTAATTAATATTTTAATGTGTTTTTCATATTTTATTTTAGATAAAATGTGCGATCAAATAAGTGACGCTATCCTGGATGCACATTTAAAACAAGATCCTGATGCTAAGGTGGCATGTGGTAAGTTTCACTAAATTACTATTAATTTCTTTAAACACTTGAATATATGTGTTAGTATATTATGTGATATTTATTTATAAATTAGTTTGTTCAGCTAACAAAACTGAATTAATTCAGCTCTGAACTAATTTAAGGCCAGAAAATACAATTTCTGGATTCTTTTATTCATATTTATATCATTTTTATTCATATTTATATCATATTTATTCATGTTTATATCATAAAAATAAATTTCTGTTTCTGAAAATGCTCCAAAGACAAGAAATAATTTTCATAAATACAGTTACTGTTAGCATTAACTTTGCTGCTTATTGATTGACTTTATGAGTTATGTAATTTATTCCTTAGATATTTTATTTCTTAAATATAAATATATTGAAATATATTTTATAATATATATGCGTGTATATACGCACGCACGCACGCACGTACATGCACATCGTGCATTATATATTAAATATAATTTGAAGTGTAATTTGTACGTTATATAGACGCATAATGTTACAAGAATATTTTTTATTTGTAACAGAAACTGTAACAAAAACTGGAATGATACTACTGTGCGGGGAGATTACATCAAAAGCTGTAGTAGACTATCAGAAGATTGTTCGGGACACAGTGAATCATATCGGCTATGATGACTCTTCGAAAGGTACTGCAACTGCCATTGTAGCACTTGCTCTTAATTTCAGCGATGTAATTTTACGTCTATCATTTCTTTCTACTATCTTTGACACTCTGTTGGATATTATTTGTATGTTCGCGAGGAAAGTTAGAGCTCCTACACTTCTACGAGAAATCCGTGACAATAACACATGCATGCCCTGTGGCTGAATACGTTAGCCAGATCTATCGTTCTCATGAAATACGCCTCACATGGTTACTTTTCATCACACGTCGTAAAGACACGATCAAATCATGGCACGAAAGATTCAAGAGCCAAACATCGTATTTCCTTTCCTGTCTCTCCCGAGCATATTTTATACGAATAGCGAAACTAAACAAATACGCAATGTGTTAGTTTACACACGAGTACAGTGTACACTGAAACGAGGATAAGAGATCACCCTAACAACATTTTACATACGCATTGAGATGTTGGACTTGGAGAATTCCATGCCTTGATCGTTCGGATAATCAATATGCTGCTCCATTACTTATTTGGGAAAGATCATACACAAAAAAAAAGAGAGAAAGAAAAGTATCAAAGAAATAAGATGCTCAAGACTGTGTAACGTAAGCATATCATGGTCGTGGCAGGATTCGATTGGCGTACGTTGAACCTTTTGGTGGCGATCGAACAACAATCCCCAAATATCGCTGATGGTGTTCATGTGGACAGGGAAGAGAAGGACGTGGGTGCAGGTGATCAGGTACATAACCCATTCTCAGCCCGTGCCACAGAGCAGCCAAAAATAATTCAATATCGACAACATCCCCTGTTTTCTTGCGCTTCGTGAATCTTTTCGTCCCTCTTTCTCTTAAGAGAAAAGAAAAAAATCAAACATTTTCATTATCAACCTGTTATTATTGTCATTATTGTGTATGACGGAGCGTGTGTTACATTTTTGTATGCGTGTATGTGCCTCGTACAGGTGCAGGTGGAATAGCGAAAAGCTTACAATATAAAAAACGACAAACGCGCGCGCGCGCGCGTGCGTATGTGTGTGTGTGTGTATGTGGGAGGGGGGGTGTGGGTATGGAAACGTTGAAGAAGATGTTAATTTGTCAAAAACGTACTGAAGATTAACGACGAACAATGTTAGAACATTGGGCTTTGCATTCGTGGCAAAGTGTCGCAAAATCTATTACTTTTACTGATGTCACACATAATATATAAAAAATGAATTCGTGCAAAAGTGTATCGAGTACGTGAAACGATTTGTACATGCAAGAAACAGTCCACAGTGTTAGTGTTTAGTATTAATCAAGATAGGATCATTAGAACGGACGAAATTCGATATACTGGGACGACGGAAACTTGGTATCGGCTTGATAGCCTGGCGAAAAGAGCGCTGTCGTACAAACAACGGTGGACATCTTTGTCTGATCACACTGATGATTTCTGCAGGTTTTGACTACAAGCTGTGCAACGTTCTGCTGGCGCTCGATGCTCAATCACCAAATATCGCGGCAGGCGTTCACGAGAACCGTAGTGACGAAGAAGTGGGAGCAGGAGATCAGGTTAATTAGCATTGTCATCGTTGAGTTATCTCTTTTCGTCACTATTATACTCGTTCTTCTTTCAACGTTTTCTCAATTTTTGTTATCTAATAGCGTCTCTTCAGTAGCTTTATAAATAACATACTTCTTACTTTTCTTTTGTTTTGCTCGTAACACATTGGCCTGTTTATTTCTTGCTGTGACATTGTTAGGACCGATTCACGCTGTTCTCCCCAAGGTAGTGGTACTATTCCTTATCTTATATTGTTTTACGCCTGACTGTTTAAATCAGAAATTAACGCGCGAGTTTACGTGCGTATATGTATAATAACTCCTCTAACTTTTAGCTAGAATATCGAGTAGATGGTGTGGAAAGAATGGATAAATGAATGAATATTCCAAATGTATATTGTGGTTAATGTGACGAAACTGTGCGAATGAACATTGTGAAGCCATCGAAATGTAACGGTTGTGGAATATTACCGCACTGTGTAGACACTAATCTTCCCGGTCGAGTAACCATGATCTTCGTACTTGTACGATCAACTCGTTCTCGCTCGACAATGTCGAACATTGTTGAATAATTTATTCGAACATCAAGTTCAATATTGACCGAAGTTATACAAATTTAATTCAACTTGGTAACTGGTAGTTATTGATGTGGTGTAATTGGATTGTGATAACTGGTGTAACCAGCGGCGCAAGTTGGCAATCGCTTGTTAAAGTTGAGTTGTCCCTTGAGCCTCTGCACTACCGTGATTCCCATTTAATAATTACCCCTACTGTTGTATCTCACTTTACTTTTTTGCTCTGTGTGGCACCTTTTATTGCATGTTAGACTTATCGCTTTGTTATATTTTCTTTATAGTTGTACATAATACTATGCACATTAGCATATATATGCAACGATTTGCACACTTTACGAGATCTTTCCTGTCTTAAGCTAAAAACCTTTCTTTTAATAAGAAAATAAATAAATTTTAGCTGGAATAACTCGAATTCTTCCATCAGGGTTTAATGTTTGGGTATGCCACCGACGAGACCGACGAATGTATGCCATTGACGGTTGTACTTGCACACAAATTGAATCAAAAGATCGCTGAATTAAGACGAAGTGGAGAACTATGGTGGGCTCGTCCAGATTCGAAAACACAGGTTTGTACACTCGTATCTTTTTGCGTTAATTTTCGAAAAATACTGGACCGCGACTTGTACGATACAATGATGTTTCTTGTGTATTTGCTACTCTTGATTGCTATGATGTAAACACCCTAACTGAGTATAATTTGAAGTAGAAATATTGTATATTTCTACTACGCCTTTTTATGTTTGAAATATAATACGTAATTGTAATGTGGTATATATGGTGTATGGGGTTATGTTCACAACAGGTAACTTGTGAGTACATTATGGACCATGGAGCTTGCGTGCCCATAAGAGTTCACACTGTTGTAGTATCATTACAACACAGCGAAAAGATCGGTCTAGATGAGTTACGCAAGGCAGTCATGGAAAAGGTTATTAAAGAAGTGATACCAGCGAGATACTTGGATGACAGGACGATCTTTCACGTGAATCCTTGCGGACTTTTTATTATCGGTGGACCACAGGTATATACAACTAAAAAATGGCGAATTAAATGTCACACGTTGTAGTCGAAGTGTTATGTTAATTTGCACAATGTAACATTTCATTCGACATATTCAGTACTCAATCTTAATTAAAGCCTATGTTATATTTTACGAGATATTAATTTTATGTATATATATATATATATATATATATGAAAAAAATAGAGCGACGCTGGCCTCACGGGACGGAAGATCATCGTAGATACGTACGGTGGTTGGGGAGCGCACGGTGGTGGTGCATTCTCCGGTAAAGACTTCACAAAGGTGGACAGATCGGCTGCATATGCTGCAAGATGGGTTGCCAAGTCTCTGGTGAAAGCCGGCCTGTGCAGGCGCTGTCTTGTACAAGTAATGTTTATACGTTATATTATATTCTTATACTCTCGCAAGTAATATCATTCATGTGTCATGAACCAACTTTTTTCATAGTGTGCAAAATTCTGATTTACATTAATCATATGTAACATTTACTTAGGTTGTACGACTTACATGTTGTGTACATCGAAAGTTTATTTGGGTTTATTAGGTTTCCTATGCTATTGGAGTGGCGGAACCTTTATCAATCACAGTCTTTGATTACGGCACATCTACGCGCTCTCAGAACGAGCTCTTAGATATAGTGAACAAAAATTTTGATTTACGACCCGGAAAGATCGTCAAGTACGTATATACTTCTTAATGTATATTTTTATTTATTCACGATTATTGTGCGTCATCGCATACACGCATACACACGCAAGACATGTTACACAAATTGTTATCGCGAGTTTTTTACAATGTTGTGTACATCTCTTGCGAGATAATATGTGTTACCATAATCAGACGTATTGTAACGAGTACATTTTGTCAGCGATAAACTGGAATACAGGGATGTAAACAGGTTGCCATCTTGTTACAGGGAGCTGAATCTTCGCAATCCTATTTATCAACAAACCAGCACGTACGGTCATTTTGGACGAGATGGTTTCACATGGGAACAACCAAAGAAGCTGATCCTCGATTGATGAGAGAGCGTTTTTTAAGTTAGTCTCGGCGTTTCGCGACTCAAATATTTGACATAAAACGTCTTTCTCCTCCTTCCTTCCCCCCCTCTCTCTCTCTCTCTAATGTTCTATCTATTTCTTACAGTAACCGTGTTATCTCGTAAAATATCCGAGATTCTTCGATCTCCGTAATGCCGCAACCACTGAATCCATCAGTTCCTTATGCCAATTTTAGCAGTAGTGAGGAGAGCGAATGCCCTGTACTTCTCTCCTCTCGTGCCATGGAATACCGGATATTACAAGTGACGACAGGCATAGTACAAATCACGTTCATAATCCGACACGCGGGTATGGGCAATCGTTTCTTCCTTCTTTTTTCGGAATCGATTCTTCTCGAACGGCAATCCCTTGACGCGATTCTCTGACGAGTATCTTATCTAGTATAATGGACATGGAGTGCAAGAAAAGGGTAAACCGAGCCTATCGCAAAAGCCTTATCATGCAAGTCCATTCATATCCTGAGGGGCTCCTGAACATTTTGTTTAACCTCGGTAAACTTTCTCTGACAACGGCAAATTGTCTACGGCCTTGTCACGAATGTGGAAGAAGGGGATATAAGAAAAAAAAACTGTTGTAGCGAGAATCTAACGACAATTTAATGTTTGAGAAGGGTGTATAAATAGGGACTATCGGTACAAGTTTTCGAGATGAAACAGCAGTCTCGTAGATTTTTAGTGATATTATAATAGTCTCTCGTGCACGTACATGGAAGTTCGACGCTCCCATTTAATCGTAAATTAATTAAATATAGATATCTGGAACCGAATATCTGGTACAACGGAGATATATATATATATATATATACATACATACATATACGTGTGTATGTATATATATGTATATATATATATATATATACACATACATACGTACATACATATATATATATATATATATACACAGAGTATCTGTAAAGTCCGGACTCCACCTCTGTGGATCTCGAACGGCTTTAAATATGAAAAAATGTTTCAGACAAAAGTTGTAGGATATTGAGGGGACACGTGATAAAAATATGGACTTGACTTTGAGTGACTTTATCAATGCCAAGTCAATGTGATCGATATTTTCTTAAATGAAACTTCCTATTTTTTATTGCATATTCTTGTAGCCCTTGTCGAGACGTTTTCAAAACACTATCTATTTTTGTTTCTTTGCGCAAGCCATTTCCAAGATATGAAGCTTCAAAGTTTACATATCGCCGGCATTTGTATTACCAAGGTATATCGCGTTGAGGTTTTACGCTATCCCCCTTTAGGATTTAGGATACTCCTACCTACAGATACCTGTATGTGTATGTATATATGTATGTATGTATGTATATAACACTACCAAAATTAAAAAATCCCATACTTTATTTTGTTTCCCGTTCATCGATCGGTCATTCGTGTACGTATCTTTGTTAGAATTGTTAATCGCTCGAGAGTATGAGAGATATGTGAATTGGCGATGATAACGTGTCCTCGGCAAACTTGTACGTAGCAAAGCTGGAAATGACGTTTCGTGGGTTGCATTCATGAGTTTTACACGAGAGACGATTTCGTCGTAACACCGGGCCGATCAGTCGTCGGTGAGAGCAGCCGTTGTTAAGCATTTTAGAATATTTGAAAATTGTCAAAATAGAGGAGTAGCTGCGTTATAAACTTAGGTTTTATTGGTTTATAGCTTGCGTGAATACGGTAACATGATCGAATCTGCGAACATTTGGGTTCGCTCGATAAAGTGCATAGTCGTTTCCCTCTTTGCTATTCGATTTTATTCAAGTAGAATAATTACAACAAACATCAGGAAAAATCATTAATGCCGTAGAGGAGAGGTCCAGCACAGATCGTGTGACGGAGCTCAGAAATTGAGAAAATTTTCATTGTTTTGGTTTACGTGTTCGGCGTGTCCTTACTGCATTTTAACAGAAAATTTGGAAAAGAGAAACCATTGTAAAAAGATTAGTAATTTTCTGTCAGAATTAATGTATGTACGATTTGTGATGCAACAATATCGGCAATATGTAACAGTGCACAAGATCTTCTAAAAAAGAAAAAAAAAAGAAAGAAAGACATAATAAAACGGATTTTTTAATAAAAAAATTTATCTGTCATTCATTTCGTATATTACCATTGTCTAAACAAAAGATACATGATCCTTGATCTTCCCAGCGTTCCGACATGATTTACAACTAGAGGGCTAATGTTGCATTTCTATAAACGTTTTCCCGATAAGAGAGAAAGACATTATTATTGAGCTCTGTTGCACTAGACACTGCGACTGGCTAATAGTTCGCTGAAGTAGCGAGAAATTTGTGTACATGTGTGTGTATATATATATATATATGTGTGTGTGTGTATATATATATATATATATATATATTTTGCACGATCATACGTTATTCATCATTGTTCAACTATGTAACGAGATGTATAAACGATTTTAACGTTATAAAACAATGAGTGTAACGAAATAATTCACACGTATATTTTACCTTGTTATGCATTTTGTTACATTGTGTCAATACTTTTACGATGTATCATAGATACATATTATTCAACATGAAGGTATGAATGTAAGGTACTTCTATGTGATTACAGAGATGAGACATTTGTAATGGCATGACATATACGCATGACATTTAACTCTGTTGTATCGATATCTCTTTAGATTTAAAACTATATACACCAATTATATACGAATATTTATATAAACGTACATTGCGCAAAGAATACATGAGATATAATCTCATGTTATCTTTTATATATAAAAGTTGTGTGTCGTAAGAATATATGGATGAAATAGAAGAATATAATTGATATATATCTATACATAATCAGTGTTATCGTTAGAAAGCTAATATAGTAATAATAAATCTTATGCTAAATGAGACATACTAAACAATTTGCTATGTCATTTCTTTAATTTGCATATATTTTGTTAATTATATCATATTTTGTAACTCAAAAAATAATACATATTATTGAGCTTTATTAAAAAAAAAAAAAAAGAAAGGAAAGCCTAGTCAATTATACGCGAGTTAAAATTTATGTCAATTTTGTTTCCACAAGTTGCATATTGTACATAAATTGCGCGCGCGCGTGTATGGTGTATATGTGTATCTATATGCACATATACAACTTTTCTCTTCTTTGGACATGTATAACGTTTGGACAATATGTCTGCAGCGATATTTATACAAGAATGAAACAAGTAAATCATATTTCTTAATATTAAATATACAACTTACATGTAAAGATTATGCAAAGGCTATTGCAATGATATATAAAGGTAAATTACTCGTAAACTTACTTCAAAGACTTATTCAGCAAATGTACTCCGTAATGTAATCCCTAAGTCTAGCTTAATTAAAATCGGCCACGTTGTCAGTTCCAAACACTCTCGCAGTATTTACGAAGACGAACATTGTTTAGTTTGATAGAATTTTCTTGGGTGCATGAATGCGACTATGCCTCAGCAATGAACTCTTGTCGGTGAAGGATTTCTCGCACTCCACGCACTTGTACGTTCTACCGGTATGTGTAACCAAGTGTCTACTGAGACCTGACGCGTGACAGAATGCTTTCGGACAGAGCTGACAATGGTGTAGTTGGATATCATTCGGATTCAACTTCTGATGCCTGCGCATGTGCACTTTGAGTGCTTCCCGTTGTGTGAAACTCTTCTCGCAATGTTGACACTGGAACGGTTTCTGGCCGGAATGAGTCATCAAGTGGCGGAACAAGATCTCCTTTTGTGCAAAGGCACGATGACAGATATTGCAGCCAAATGGTTTCTCACCTGTGAATACAAATAAATGTATATTTCCGCGACAAATATGTTACTTTTAATTCTACTATTTAGTTATTTACACGAAAAATAATTTTTACTTGAAGATCAATAAAATCTTAATGATCGCACATACACACATGCACACACGTACATATGAAAGATAATTGATATTAAAAAATGTCACTAACCCGTATGAGTACGTTCGTGCCTCACTAGAGCAGATCTAGTCGGGAACCACTTTTCGCATGCCTGACATGTGAATCCTCGTTGTGTAGAATGTACAGATTGATGACTTTTCAACATTATTCTTCGGGTGAATGCTTTAGGACACTTGTCGCATTTGAAGACCTTCAGCTCTGGATTTGCATCAACTGTAATAATATGTTTATTGTACATAATAGCAGATACTAATTACACGTTATTCAATTCTTCACATTTATTACGCGCCAATATTCCTTACCGATCGTGTCCGTCATAGGTTGCAGCTTCAACGATTCCCCTTGACCAGAACTGTTGCTAGTTAGTTCCATCATGTAAACATTCTTGTGTTCCGCATTGACGATCGCTCTTTGTACCTCTTCCGCTTCATCCTCAGATTCCTGCTCCTGCTTGATGCGTGTTGTTCTTATTGTACATCGTGCCTTCGCAGTTCGCTCCTCAGCAGGTACTAGTGTAATATTCTCTGGATCCTCCGAAACATTCTCTTCTATCTCTGCATTTTCTGAATTCATACCTATGTGTTGAATAACGACGATATATATGTTATATAAAGAGAATCCGCACATGTATGCAGGTATCCTAAAATATTAATTGCTATCTAAGAAGTACAATATATATATATATATATATATATATATATATATATATATATATATATATATATATATATATATATACATACCCAGGATATAACCTCCGACGAGTTCTTCTTCCGTCACCTCGATAGGATCTCCATCTGTTTGGCTACTGTCACCTTTGATCGCAACTAGATCAGCCAACAACTGTTTAACTTGCTTAGATTTGCCAGTAGTGGTAGATTCCGTCCTGTCTTGGTTTTCGTTATCCTGGTTCTCGCCTTCTTCGTCCTGTCCAGTCAGCTGTTGTATCAGTTTCATGTGCTTCTTCAGCTTGGCATCGGCAACCTGACATTTTTTTCTAAACTGATAGGACTTCTCCAATTGATATTTGCATGGGTGACATATCATGTTGGGCAAACCATCTTGCTCGTAAACCTGAAATGTTATTAGATAGGTAAGGATGTACACACACACACACACAAACACACACACACACATACATACATATACACAGATATATAATACAATAAAAAAAGAAAAAAAAAACAATACAAAGAAATGGTAATGACTTTAATAGTTTTAGTCAATTTTGATGAAATTGGCTAAAAGTTGATAATTTCTTAATCATCTTCTTAATCATCTTGTGTACGGATGAAGGTTGAGATATAAATATGATAAATTTAGGCTGTCGTTGGAGTGACGTAATCGTCACTCCAACGTCTGCTCTCAGCATCCTATCGGGAAAACATCATCGATCGAGGAAACAAGGCGCGTCGTGCAAATCGCAGAGGAAGGGCTGAGCATCAGCATAAAGTGTCGGGCATAAATGTCGATCGTCACAAAAGGCCGATCGTCGCGTGCGGCGATCCGTCTGCATCGTCCAAGAAGCTAATGCGCCATTATGTCCGACGCAATAATATTACAGATTTCTATAAATCCGTAGGGTAAACGATCGCGCGGTGGGGCCTCCGCGGAGTCTAGGTCCCTGTAATGAGGCGACGAAGCAGCGCGCGTACAGGCGTATACCTATCGCACAGCTCGTCGATAACTCGGTAAGGCCGGTAGTTGCTTTGCGCAGCGGCGTATCACCGACGTCGCGTAGCTGGTTGCCGCGTGCACGCACACCCTCCAACGAGCTCTCGCGCGTGTCGCGTGTACGTACGTAGACGCGCTTGTCGTCGGTGCGTATCTGTGTGTGAGTTTCGCATCGAAGGCCATGTTGCGCGCGCGGTGGAGGTAGGTTGGAAAGCGGTGGGAAGGATGGGGAGAAGGCGCCGAACGACGCGCGGGAGGACGCCGTGTGCACACGTAGAAAGAAGACAGAGAAAGAAGGAGGGAGGGGAGGGGGAGAGAGAGAGAGAGAGAAAGAGAGAGAGAGAGAGAGAGAGAAACAGTGCGCAGAGATAAACTAGATTCCTATTTTTCGATGAGCTCGGCTCGGCTGATTATCACTCGCCGCGATAATCGTGCGACGCGAGAACGACGATCGCGGCGGCGGCGGCGGCGGCGGCGACGACGACGACGACGACGACGACGGGGTCCGCGGGAAAAAGACCCACCTCGATGTTCACACAGGCGAGTATTCGCAGCGGCAACGGCACGGTCTCTTCTTCGTAAAGCGGTACCATCTCCTCCTCCTTGGCCAAACACAGTCGGCACAGCTCGTTCACATGGATGATCACGTTGCTCGGGCTGTCGCCCTTTTTTCTGCTGTACGTTTTCATCGTCGGTTTTGCAGCCACCAAGTAGTCGCTCTCGCTCGTCCACTGCTCTCCGCCGAATCTATTCGTCCCTCTACCTCACTCCTCGCCCCTGTCTGTCGCTCTGTCTCCCTCTGTTTCCTTTTCGAATTCGCGGCAAGTGCACGACGGAGCAAGTAACACGTTGAAATGTGACGAAGTTTCCGTGAGAAGTCGCACTCGCCAGGGCGAGACTCGGTCACTCACAACGGAATCTATAATGGCGGTCGACCGCCAATGACGGAAGCGCGTAACGGCGCTGCCAGTTCGACAGCACCGCGCTCCTGTGGTGGTAGGAGACAATAACTGCGCACAGGAGCGACGAGGACGCGCAGCGAGCTTGCCACTAATCGGAGAGAGACGACGAGGTACGGCACGAGGACGCGTTCGTGGGGGCGCGATCGTCGGGTCGAATGGCGTCGTTGCCGCGCGCACAAGAGTCGGTAAGGGCGATTGCGATTATTGATTTTCCATTCTTCCCAACGGCGGGAAAAGCGAGCGCGTCTCTGGCCCTCTGTGCGCCTGTCGACATCTCCTCGCTGCGACGACAAGGCGAGGAAAGCCGGGTGTAAGTAAGCACAGCTCTTGTCACCGCTGCGTCCTCTTCGATTCTCCAGTGTCGTCGGCGCGAGAGCGTAGTAACAGCGAGCGCGCGAAGGTAAAAAACCATGTATCGCGAAAGATGTTGAGAACGCCTTGCCTCGCCACCGGCATGCTTCTCTATGTACAGGTGTATCGACAGATCGCGCTCAATTTAATTCACCCTCTCTGAGATATTCCCTCGCCGATACGCCAGATCTGTCGTCCTCCTCGTTATCAAGCTGATCTCGAGTTAATTATCGAAACTTAACCTCTGTCGATTTTCAATCGTCGAGCGTATTGTCTGTATAACATTCTTGGGAAACGCGTGCTGTACGTAATTGCAGGCTTATGTAATATTCCACATTGTCATAGATTATCGCCAACAACGAGATGTTGAGGTGTGTGTACCGGCTACTGCAAGTAGTACATCTTATCGCCGTGTAAGATGATTTTTGGAGATATTACTGAGAGATTGCTGATGGTCAACCCCCTCCCTTCTCCTCCTCATCCTTGTGCGATGTATGTACACATGTATATCGCTGCTTCGACTCAGTACCGAGGTAATATAAAAATACATTTCTTTCGACCAAATGAATAATAAGTTTTATGCCTGCAATTGATACACACGGTCTCTGGAGCGATCTTCAGGTTACGAAATCATTGCATATTTCGTGCGTACGAGTTCTGCACAGGGTCAGATCGCTGGTACATGTTGCAGCATGATTGGTTGCCTGTCTGCAGGTGCTCGATTCCTCTCGAGATGGTAATGCAGAGATTCTAGTGGCGCGAAACAAGGTTAGGTTAGGTTATTAAGTGCAATCATTGAGCAATACGAATATGTCAATAGAAATCTCTCGGACATTTTAAGGTATTTTAAGATCAATCATGTATTAGCTTTCTCTCTGTATGGTCTGTATTTTAGGAGTAACTTGGACGAAAGTATCTCTCAAGACATCGTTAAATCTAGCGTTTGAATCGTTTTGAGGAAACTCGTTCATTATCGACACCCTTTGTGCTGAAATTGCAATCAAACCGTCCATGCTAAAGGTATTATCTTTGACATCTGCTTGTCCATAAAATACGCGCTGTTACAACTATAGAAATCCATTGATAACATTGTCATGACAATGTCTCCTGCCGCTTTGAATTTTATGGGGGTGATTTTGCGGGGTAGCAATAAGTACGAAAGTGCGTCGCATTGCGTTCGAAACAATTCGTGTCTGTGGCGAAACATCGCCGAGCCACTTTGGCCTGATTTATTTTTGTTTGCGTTAGCGAGAGATATGTTAAACGCACAAAACGTACGATTTACCGGCTGCGAGTGCTGGCGCGTTTTCAATTTCATAGCGCAGAATTCTCGCGAAGTTTCGCTGGATATTCGGCGGATGTAACTTCTCGGATTTATCGAATGCGGATAGGCAATTAATTCTTTTGTTTCAGTATTACATTGTACGAGATAAAAAAGGCTACGATTAGCCATGGAAACCACCACTACTGATTTCGAGCAATAAAACTTTCTTGCAATTTCTGAGACTTTTAACTGCGTACGCAGAGCACGAGAAGATTGACAGAGCTTACGTGCGTTTTGATTGCCTGCGAAAATGTTGAAATGCTCAATGATACATAGATGATGTATCATCTCTCGACTTTTCTGCCAAAGTATCGTATATACCTCGAGACTAACAGCGATGTAATGTAACGCATGGTATGAACAAGTTTCAGGAATTGTACGACACGCAAGATATTCGGATCGTTCGAGAATGAAAGACACGAGCAAGCGGAGTTCGAATTGTCGAGTATCGACTAGAGACACAGCTGTCCCGCAGATATCCCGATGAAATTGCGCAATTTGTGTGTCATTTTATGAATATTCCGCGCGAAGAGGGAAAAAATAAAAAGAGCGTCCGCACGGAGTACGGGTGCGATATTCTTACTAAAAATAACTGCCTCGAGTGCCGAGTGCAATTGCACGATCGACGACACATCTTTCCGCGTCTCGGCGACTCGCGCGGAATTGCGCGACGAGACTTTCGGAAGCGGCGCGGGAAAACGCAGAGGGTTTTCTCGCAATTGCCAGGAAATCCGCCAAATGTCGTGGCTATCAAAGAGAGAGAGAGAGAGAGAGAGAGAGAGAGAGAGAGAGAGAGAGAGAGAGAGAGAGAGAGAAAGGTAAATACACAGAGAGAGAGAGAGAGAGAGGGGGGGGAGTGGGAGAAAGACGGAAAGAGGGAAAAAGAGCATTTCGGGGATCGAGAATAACCGCGACATAGGAAGAACATGTGAGAGGGCAGAACTGTATTCGGCGGTTCCGGGTATAGGAGGGGGCAGACGGTTTTCTTCTGCTGCTCTCCGGTGCTTTCGCTTTTCCGAGTCCAGTGTGTTTCGCCACCCGAGGAACCCGCGTGCTTCACGTATATCAGCGCGAAGGTAGGTGCTGCGTCCTCGTTGCATCATTCGTAGTCGTCGTCGTCGTCGTCGTACCACGGTAGGAAGATCCGACGAGAAACGGAGCCACGGCATAACGAAAAAGAATGGAAACAGACAAAATAAAGAAAAAAAAGAAAAATAGGTGAAGACGTTAAAACACGGAAAGAACATGAGATTGAGAATAGAAACGGTCCAGCGGGCGAGCGGGAAAATGGAAGAGGGCTAAACTTGTGGAAAATCGGGAAGGGTGATTAACTGTCGAGAGTGTGGAAAAAGTGCAAATTCATGAAGCGTATCGAAAGGAAAAAATCACTCAGCGTCAATCGCGTATAGCGATAAGATCCGACGTTATCTATTTTTATTGTTTTATCTCAAAGCATTCTCAGAGACGGCGAAATATTGTAACATAACGAATAGCGTACATATCGTTTTGCTAAGCGATGTTTCCCTCATTTAGATGTAAGGACACTTTGTACGGAGCTCTGAAGCGCAATCAGCATTTATCAGCTTAGCGTATTTATAGAGCAATAATTATCGCTAGATATTTTTCATCGTCGATACTGACCGATTTTTGCCGTTCGCGCGTAAGCTTTGATGTAATTCAATACGACCCGAAGGAGAGCGCGCGCGCGCGCGCGCTTCAAAGACCAGCTGGGAGAAGGAGGGAGAAGTAGAGATTTTGCGGACGATGTAGATATATTCGGAGGAATTTCTAAGCAAAAATAACCGACGGTAGGCCACCGGTGGCTACCCAGCCGAGACGCGTCAGCGAGAATCCCAAGTTTTCGAGAATTAAACAGGTCCGCACTTTCCACTTTTCGCTCTGGGTATCGACGTAAGAAACAGCGAAAAGTACGATCGAATCGGTGAATGAGAGAAAGAGGCATTCATGAGGGTTTAGGTAAACCTTGGAGATTTTATAGATAAATTGAAATCAAATAACGGAATATTTCATCGATAAATAGCTCTAGATAAATAACTCGTGTGGCATTTGGTAATAGCCAAATAGCATGAATCTTACTTTCACTCGCCGACTCCGTCGTTTTGCAGTTTTTTTTTTTTTTTTTTTTTTTTTCAGCAACAAATGAAACATACAGAGCCTGAATAACGTATATATCCGTTCTTTAATTTTTCGAACACGCATCTCAGATTCTTTCCCAGTTAATTGTCAATTGCCGAATTACAACGAAAGCACTCTTTTTCCTCTCGCGTAGGGAATATCGATTGCATCTTTCTCCGATGTAGACTGATGTTTGACACTTATTAAATCGCATTTCGTCGTTGCGCGACGAATTTCTTGGCAACGAGTCTAGGACTAATATTCCGAGGACTGTACAATCTCCCTCGCGGCGCGATCGCGTTCTTGTGCGATCAAGTGCGATCAAACAATCGCGAACGATTTAACAATCCGCGGGACGATAATTCGCTCGTGACCCACTTCCCGAAATTGCTCGCTCCTCGACCCCGCGTGATTTGCGATCGATTTGGAATGCGACGAGCGTGAGTCACACGTAAGAACGAGATTATGCGGCTCATCTTGTCATGTGACAAGACGATCTTCGCGGCTGTCACGTCACGACAGATTAATAGTCGTAATTCTTCACGGAAAATTAATTAAGCAATTTTAATTGCGTTACGTTAGCGAAACGCACGCAGGTGCGCGCGCGCGCGTTCGCACAAAATGTGCCAACATAGACAGACGTCACTTTGGCCGCGTATGAGAGAAACATCGCCGCAGCTGGCAGTCGCTCGGTGCGAAACGAAAGAAAAATTACACTCGCTATTTATTGCCGTGCTCGATTTCTACGTGCAGGTGTGCGAGCGGTCATTAGTCGTAAGACACGAATATTTGTGCCGTACGACTCTGTAAGACGTGTTGTCCGATGCGCGAGACAAATTCTTGGCAGAATGTACGCGCGCGCGCGCGCGCGCGAATGACGCGCAGCGAAAACTACGCTCGTGCTGTCTGTGTTACGCTTAAAAAAATAATAACTCATATTTAGAATCGCAAAGTCATGTCGACTTGTCACAACATTTTTTTTTCTCAGTTGCAGTAATTGCTGAGAGAATAAATTAAGGCACATCGAGACACCTATACGAGATGGCTACTCAAAAGGCGAAGTTTGTGAATAAGCAGTTTAATTCTCCCATTGGTCTGTACTCGTCGCAAGCGATACAGGAGACTCTGGACAAGCAGACTCAAATTTTGGCCAACGGTGCAGTCGGGTGAGTCGTGTGTGTGTGTGTGTGTTTTATCCGACGCGTATCTTGTCAAACGTCTCAACTCTCTAATACGAACATTCCGAAGCGCGGGATTCGCGTTACCGAGACACTTCGAATTGCAAAGTCTCACAGAAATGTCTGTCGACGAGCCGCTACCGGCGACCACCTTGCGTCAATCATCGAGCGTGCAGAACCTCCACCTGCGTGCGGTCCACGTGTCACGATCGTCCCGAACCAATGTCGGTCGCGCGACGACACCGCGTCGTCGCCGCTGCATGAATCAGCCGACCCGCGACCGGCCATCGTCGATTCCGTCCCGTTTGCTACGTCAGTCGCACCGATGCGGCGACGGCACGTGTTATTTTCAGAGGGCCGAATCATCGGCCGGTTAGAAATAAACAGCCGCAGGCCGGCAGGCAGGGACGAAGGGGCCTCTCCTCGCCGTTGCGCAAAGCCTCACGCATCGGCTGTAGTCGCGTTTTCGTACTTGACTTAGTTTCGCGTTTGACTTAGCTCCGTGGGTGCGCGCGCGCGCGCGCACGTGTTCTCCGTTTGCGTCGTCATTGTCCTCTGTTCTCGTCGCGCTTCGGGATTCCTGGATCGCCTGCCGCACCGCGATGATCACTACGAAGAGGTGACCATCGATCGCACAAATTGTCAGCGATTTGACCGCTACCGTTGAGCGCGAGTTCTCCCGAGTCTGAGCTTTCAAATCTTGACAGCTCGCGGGTCCCACGCTTGTCAGTTGTTGACAGACGACGAATCCTTGCCACGCGTTCTATAAAGTTCCGATGACTCTAGACTTTTCGTCTACTGCTGAACGACGACGACGACGACGATACAACGCGCACATGAGACGGAAGACGAGTAGACGATGAGACGGTTGAACTAACTTTCGCATCTGAAATCTCGCTTATTGAAGTACGGATATCTATGATGAAATGATTAGCGCGATTGAACGTTGACCTCGTCTTTTTGCAGAATCGACTTCAACCAGTTGGCCAAGCCAGCGAATCTACAGAACAGCGCGGTCCTACGTATGCTTGAGGAAGAAGAAGCGAGACAGCGCGGTGGTCAAGCCAGTAAGTGAAGAGGTGTCTCTCGAAAAATAAATGGATGTCAATCCAAACTCAATTCAAGCGACTCGAGATCTATTGTTGTCGCCACATAAGATCGCGATGATTCACAAGTGCAAATATCGCAATGGCACTTACGACGGCTTTGTCATCGATCGCCAGCCAGTCCGCCGCGTCAGTCTCCCAAATTAATACCAGTATCGTCGGCAGCGCGTTTACAATTTAGCACAACACACTCGTTACTTTCGTTATATCGCGAGAGCTTTTGGCCGCGTCTCAAAGACGTAACTTCACGAGATTAGCAGCATATTTTCGCGAAATGCACGAGCCTCTCAATCCGCGAACACGGGACGTCGTTGTGTCGAAGAACGGCCGTCTCTGCCATGTTCAGCTGCGCACGTTAATTCCCCGCTGAGTCGAAAAGTCCAAGCGCGAGGAAGTTCGCCGTTGTCCATTGGGACAACGGCGCGTTCTTCAGCCTCCAATCAATTCTCGCAGAATGGATTCGACCCGCGATTTTGTCGCATCGATAACGGCAAAAAAAAAGAAAAAAAAAGAAAAGAGGAAAATAACGTAGGGTTTGACTGCCATGGTAATTGTAAAGCATTTTGTGCAAGAGTAACATAGAATCTCTCGTGAGAGATTATCGCAAGATTGTTCGGGGATACGCGTCTGGAACAACGCGCAAACCGGAAATTTTTCGTGACAAGTTTTACGTGATTCTGCTCGAGAATACGCGTTGCCCCTCCTCACCGGGCACAACATCAAACCCCACTCCTTGGCCGATTACCAAAAAAGCTCTATAATCGGTAGCTACCTCGTTTCCGCAATAACGAAGGGTACAGGTGACTCCGTCATAACGTCAGTAGTTGGCGGGTGTCCGTTTTGGCAGAGTCGCGTCCTTCTTCTTCGCGGTCGAAGCGACAAAAATTCACGGAGAATCGCATCGGTATGTGACGCGTGAGATCCAGATATTTATCATTTGCCAGAAAATATGTATTCGTATTCCGCCCGTGATTGAGTATGCGCGACTTATCGCGAGAGAATCGCGCAATGTGAGAGAGAGAGAGAGAGAGAGAGAGAGAGAGAGAGAGACAACAGCACGCACGGATGCGAGCAAGCACTTAGAAATGAAGGATTTTCACCCTTACGAATCTTTTATTATTGTCGTTCTTCAGATCTCAAGCGAGTAGCTTGGCCACCACCTCCAGAGGATCAAGACTTCGACTTCGTGGAGCAAGGTCCCGTCCAAGCGAAGGTAAAGCGACGAATAATTTCCCACAATATTGTGCGCGTTCGCGCACATGTTTTCGCGTTCGAAGGAGACGAGTTTTTACACCTTTTGTTACGCCCAACCGTGAAACCGCTTCGTTAAGACAAAAGAGGCAGCGTCCGACAAATTGCTAATTATATAATTGCTCATTATATGAAAACACGAACGCGTAACGCGTACGCTGCCTCTTCTCTTTGCACTTTGTCGATAGCTTACGTCGTGCGCTGAATCATAAATATAAGAATGCGAACGAGTATAATTTACGAGTAAACGGATTCAAGATCGCGCGCCCGCACAAACACACTCACCGATTATCGTGACAATTACAGAAACGTCCGAAAGGACACGGACTGGTTGAATGTGTCTACCTGTTGTATGCATTTTGTCGTGATATTACTTGTTATCAATTAGTGCGATGGTTTTTGCCATGCATCTTGGCCATGCGTTAATGTGTGCAACGATGTTACTTACGTGTTTCTTTTATGTATGTTTTTCCGTTGTTCATCCTCTCTCTGCGTATGCGTATCAGTTTTGTCTTGCTCTCGGAATAGAAAATCGGTGGGAGAGGACGATATATTCACAAGATATTCGCGTACATTCAGGGTGATTCTAAATCGAGCCATTGGACATTGAGCATGGTTCAGAGACCGTTCCTCACGAGCAATTTCCCCTAATTCTTTTTTACAAAATTTGTCGGGCTGTAAATATCGAGTTGGCAAAAATTGTTGGCAAAAATTAGAATCGCTCTCAAATCGCTATACTGCGCTCTGCTGCGGTCGTCGAGGCGGATCTGCCGATAATAAATTATTCGTAGTCGGGGACAAAAATACGAAGAACGTCGACTTTTCTCGTCAAATTGGTGTGCGCCGTTGCCGTTGAAGTGATCCGGACGATTTTCGGCTCGAGCGAATCGCGATTGAGTTATGAGTTACTTTGAAATAAATAGCGTTTGCTGTAGCTTTCTCTTGTCTCTCTCTCTCTCTCTCTCTCTCTCTCTCTCTCTCTCTCTCTCTC